TAAAGCAGCAACAACGCTACACATAAAAACTGATGATGGTGGAAAAATACACCGAAACGTATTTTGATTGATAAATAGAGACAATAAATGACTGATGAAGTTTGTAATACATTCAAGGCTTATTGGCGCTGGACTGTATGATATATTTTGCGAGAAACCATGCAGAAAACTACACGAAACTAGTCTTGGAGAACAGTTGTCGCGCTGATGAGCATGAGTGCCCATTCGGTAGAGCTAGTGTGGAGCTGGTTAGGATCTTGTGCGAGTTATTGAAAATAGGCAAAGTCTTTACGAACTTGATCTTGATTTAGTACTTATTTTATTACTTTGAGTAGGCGAAGCACCGTCGGAACAATGTGTTGCTTATCAACCGCTTTTTTTCACGCATGACCATCCGTTTGAGGAGTGCTACTGCATATGCATCGTTTTGCTGAACAAAACTTGGAAGGAAATGAGAGCCACAGCTGAAGATTTTGGCAAGGTATCAAAAGATCTTACAACGCGTCCGAATTTCGGATAAATTTACGTGCGCTCTCTAGGTAGCTGGAGTCGTACGAGAACAGATCAGCAGAGCCTTAGAAATGTCGCCGTCTTCTCTAGACCAGCTTAAGACGAAGTTGCAGTCGTTAACGTACTCGGAAATTACTCAACTCTGGCAGCTGGAAAGGTATAGAGCTTACTTATCGCCAGCACTTAGTTTGATTCGGGTTTTCACTCAAGGAACACAAGAGAAGAATGGGAGAGCCACGCTAAGCCTGTTGTGGAACTACGGGAGTTAATCACGCCCGAGATTTTAAGCCTGATCAAACAGCAGCGTCTGGGATATCTGGTAGAAGGTTGGTACAGCAAAACTATATGGATATCGGGCCCCCAACTATTCCCCCACAGGCACAAGGTTCACCAAGTATTCCCCTAGGGGGCAACGTATAAAGGACAAATTTTGGTATATGCGCCTCTCGCCCAATCACAAGATTCTGCATTACGGAGACTGCGACGAAAAATCCACTCCAAGCGCAGAGGAATTACCATCCAAGTTGGCGGTAAGCGACATTAGAGCTCTACTGATAGGAAAAGAGTGTCCGCATATGCGTGGAAAGAAAGCTTCCCACACCCAGTTGGCATTTTCTCTGGCACTTGAAGGTACGTTGGTGTTCTACAGAGGGTTTGCCTCTTACAAGCACGTATTCCCGTAGGTGTGGATCTTCAAAGTTTGGATTGTGTAGCTCCGGATGACCTAACGTTGGCGTATTGGACAGACGGAATAAACGGGCTTTTAGGCCAGAGAATGACGAGCAAGGAAACGGAGAAGGATCTAGACACTCTCCTGAGCATGGAGATCAAATTGCGCCTGCTGGACGCAGAAGGGGTGGCGATTCCTCAAGATCCTCCGCCAATTCCTCCAGATCCTCCGCACTATCATTTCTGCTACGACTTGAAGTAACATAAACGGAATCATTTTTGTGAATGTGAACCAGTTGATATTTTTAACTTTTATATGTTTGATCTGAATTTTCCAAAGACCAATTTTATTTACAAGTACGTTTTAATTAGAACTGATATTTACATTAGGGCATTTTACGCAATATAATAGTTTTAAATTTAGTTGATAGACCAGTAGTTCAATTGCACTGTTAGCTTTACTATTTACAGCTCATTTTTATACTTTTCTATTAGCATCTCACCAAAGCTGCATCAATGTATTATTGTAGAATAAGTGCATGTTTTACTCATATCATAATCAAATAAAGTATATAAAGCAATGCTGCTCTGTTTCATTTTCATTTGGTGTCTAAGCATTGCTTGCTTATACAACGCTTCGAAATGTGTTAGTTTTTCAAGGTTTGGGACAGCGAATACGATTTGAATTCTTATTTATACAACATGTACAACATTTATTATTGTCGAAAGTATATAGGGGAAATAGATGTACAAAAGGTAACAATAAAAATAATGTTAAGCTATCTAAAGTAAGTCGATTAACAAATATGTGGTTTAAAATAAGGCCTTATTAGAATCATTTTTCAATTTGAAAAATATATTACTCATGGCTGAGCGGAAGAACGAATAATGAACCTTAATGGTAGATTTTTTCATTTGCAAAAAACCTGTAGCTTGAATCATGTATAGTACTTAAAAATCTAGTTAAAATACTGTATTTTCATGTACAAGTTTGCATAAAAAAGTGAAGAAACCTTTGTCCTATCGCAGTACCGAATAAAGATTTGAATATACAGGGTGATTTAAAATTGGCGTCATTCCCCTGGAGGTGTTGTCTGGGAGTGTTATTGGAGTACAAAAAAAATGTTTTTAAAAACTGAGAAATTTGCATAAAACTGTATCAGAAGCATGGCAACAATGGTTTTCAAGGTAATCTGTAAATAATTAACATTAAGTAAAAGCCTGTTGCTTGGTAATTATTAAAAACTCCGGCAACCATGGAAAAATACAGAAAAATTCTCTCTCGGAACGTCAAAATTGTCAAGAGAAATTGTTCTTTAGGGTCCTCATAACCTCGAATTGATATGTATACAAATAAACATACATTTCAGTCTTTAAGTCCAAACAAGTTAGTGCGTTATTGTGCACTATTCTCGAGCAGCTTTTCGTATTCGGTTAATGAACTCCGGCTCATTTGTACCGGTGTTCAGTGAACCATTGGTTTAATGTGTCCTTGTGTTCTGTGCATCATCTGTTTTTGTATCACCCTGTATTTAGATAGTGAGAAATATACACTCTTAAAATTGTATTATAAGTTTTACTTAAACAGATGAAATAGTTAGAATTTTCGCAAATGCTGCTTATTTTCATCTGTTTTATAAGGATATGATAAACCCTAATAATTAACCCTGTATAATTACTTTGGCCCAGAATGCATATAAAAGACGACGTTTATCAATTGTTGATAGGTAAGCACATTTTAGAAAATTGGCCCACCGGTTACATTAGATTTGATTTTGAAACTTACAACTACCTACTTGGCTGCATTTAGATTAGGAGTCGCATCACACTTAACAAATTAACATTAATGTGAAAATAGTACATAAAAATCATCTTTTTAATTTCTTTGTTCCTATATGCTGATGTATTTGTCAAGACGTTCAGCGCCGAAACGATTCAAACTCGTATACATTAAAAAAAACATTTAACCCAAATTGGATTAGGGTAAAGTATGAGCATAGACGGACCCCCAAATCTCAGCACCTTCACAGTTTATAGGATATGAAGATTCTCACAGTTTTTGAACTTTGAATCTTCTTTGCCAAAGAGCCACGTGAACATCTGCCTGGCCTTCATACTGGCCTTTATCATATTTCTGCTTTTGTACCTAACAGAAGGTAAAGGAAAATGTGACAAACGTTGCACAAAAATAGCCAACAGTCAGTCTCACCATTGTTGTTGATGCCCATGTTCGTCATAGTTTAATACTTTCAGTCTAATTTGTGTCAGAATGCCGACTAGAAGCTCATCGACGTTGTGGTTGATCCCCACCGAAATCTCTATAAATTTCGCTCTGGACGTGCATGCCAAGCACTTGCCATCTAAAACATACAAAAATGACACGTTTAAAATGTTTGGCAAACTAAAATTACTCAATAAAACGTACATGATATAATAGACTAGAAACAATGTAAATGGCAGGTGGAATAAACGGTTATTTTTCTGTAACAAGGTTCCAACGTTCCAGTTCACGTTGGTAATAGGTTCCAAAAGGAACATGTTACTTTTAAAACTTTTCATTAAACATGCGCAATGATGATGGTGATTGTAGAAATAGTAATGACAAATAATGATTTAGTTTATTAAAAGACTAATTCTTCACTAATGCTTTTAGATGAAATAAAATATTCTAAAATGGAAACCAAAACATGGGTCAAAAGTACCTGCTTAAAGAACAAAGGAACTGATAATAACCTAGATAAAATATATAAATAAAAACTGATCAAATAAAATATACGCTTTATTTGGAAAAATGTTTAAAAATCTAATTTGGATTGGCATCGGTTCTGTGCTGACGCGAACCACTTTTTCAGGTTTATGGGACGGTTCCAAAAGAACGGTTTAAGTCGGCAAACGGCTGCAGCTGGATCGATCGCTCGACGGTGTCGCATCGGTTCTGTGCTGTTGCAAACGGCCTTTTCTGGTTTATGAGACTGTTCCAAAAACAACCGGTTAAATCGGCTAGCTGTAACTACCGTTTCAGGTTACACGTTTGTAACAACGTTATTTTAGCGGTTACGTTAAATACCGACCATCCTTAGTTTCGCGCTTGTTGAATTTCAGAATAAATCCGGCTTAGGGCGACGCGGTACGATTTTCAAACGAATACTTGAGCTTAATGTAAA